CTACGATTCTGAATGGAAGTCGAGTGCGGGGGCGCATCCCTCAGACGGGATTGATTAACGCCAAAAACTTTATCCTTTATCCTTTAATTAACTAATCCCAGGGGAAATAGCGGTTTATGTGGGGTGTAAAAGAACACGTAAAGAAGACGGCCAAATGAATCCAAGCGCTGGCGAACGATTTTACCCTTATAACCCAATCTCTAGACCAACCTTGGGGTAATCGCGTGAATTCTACATGTGAAAGGTCTTAGGATGATGTTCCTGAACACCTCCCTCTCCCTGAGACATCCCATTTTCTAACAGCTGACCCTGTCCCAACCATAAGGCTTTCGTATTATTCAATGGGAGTGTACTATAGAAGAGGGCATAGTGTACACTTGAAAAGGCGCGTAATAAATGTTCACCCAAAAACTTGGAAGTGAAAGGATAAAAGGATTTTCGGGCGTTGACAAATAGCCCCCCTCCCCCCATTTTGGAACTTATGGGCATAATCTTGTCGAAAATAGCGTTTACAATGGTGGAAAACTAATGGAACAGCATTATAGAACCATTTTACAGCCATAGCTTGAATATATTATTGTCATTGGAGTTTTATTTGTACAAGTATGCATATTTAGTCGTGAATTGGGACCGAAGATTACCCGCGGCTGAAATTTCATCCACCGCCGCTTTTCCTGAGTCACCTCGTCAACGCTTCATCCAGCCTAGTCTCTTTGTTCACCTAAAAGCGCAATGAAGCGCGTAGGGAAGCGACTATTTGATGTTGGCAAATTCGGTCGAGCCTGACGTGGTCCTTATGGGAGAATAGTTGGGTGAGCAATCATTGACGGAATGCTCAAAATAAACAAAGCGATACGGGAGGAGGAGAAGTGGCAGGCCGTGGAGTTGTTCACACATCATTAACGTACCTTCTCGATTTCGATCACTGGGCTTGGATATATCGTTGTGATTCCGATTTTTCGAAGAAGATCGATCTTCGCACTGACACCACGGAAATCTCCAACGCCATCGTTGTCGGTATCGAAGAAAGTCGGAGTGAGTAGCTGAAAGTGGTGACATTACATTCACTATAGACTTGTTTTCAGGCATAAGTAAAGTCTCGTACGAGTTAATACCTACACTCAAGAAAATCAATAAACTGCTTCAATATTCCTGGAATTCGATGAAATTTCTTCAAAGCTCTCAGTCATCTGAACTAGAAAAAAAATTTGCCCCATTCCACTCCTCAATTCAATCTATTGCAAGTACTGGTTTCCCAAATCTTCAACTCCTCCCATTTGTCATGACAAAGCAGCCGGTCCCCATGTGAACCCTTTGACTCGATACCGCGACCTTATGACATCCGACAAGATGAGACGGAAGCAATGACAGCCGACCGGCGATGGTTGATGACAGCTGGCCGGAGAAATGATTTAGGGTGGCTCCCACTAAGACTTTGAGACCTTTCGAGTGAAAAGGACCCCTCATTTCTGGTGTGAGTCCATTCCAAAGACTACCAAGTCTTCGAACAACAGACTATTCATTGTCATCGATCAGCTCTGCGAATCAATGATTGATTATTTGATTGATTTGCGGTTGCCTACGTGGACGCGTGAGTGTTGAGATATTGCGGAGCTGTGTAATACCGAAGATTTGGGCAGATTTATAGTTGGACCGGGCAGCCGAGAAACAATCAATACTTCCGTAATTCTCAATTCGAAACCTTCAAAGACCGACCAAGGTACAGAATGAAGTAAATCGCTTGATCAAGGAGAGAAATCGGTGAAACTGGTAATGTTCGGAGCCCCCAAAGTAGCCTGAAGCAATCCATACAAACTCTCAAAGCATGTCTGAGAAATGGAACGCGCTTTTCTATATGTTTTATAAATTATTCAAGTAAAACCTGAACTAGGACAATCTAAATTTGTCCATGATCGATCGGTCGACACCCAGGTAAAAGCATCCCTACTGGTGCTCCAAGATTATTAGGATTGCAGTGAGAACCTATCAAATAATCACCCGAGCGTTTTCGCCATAATGCCGAACAGTTTCATGTTCCCATGACGAACTACAGCATTACGGTAGTGTTCCATTGTCTCTAGCGATGCCATTCGTGACAGATTACGTCCTTACGCCGGCCGAATACGATGAGAAACGAAGATATCAACGGCCGAACGGGGTCATTCCGCTCCACTGAATCTTTCTCACGGCCATCTCGAAAACGAATGGGGAAACAGAAGTTTTGGTTTTCCTTTTTTTGCCAACAAAGTTGAAAGTCATCTATCGACTGGTCAAACGATCTGATAAGGATTGGCCGACTACGGCGTTGGTTACGTAACTGCCGTTGACACGGTGTCGGTAGTCTCACCTGATACGAGACCTTGGTCTGCCACCATTCGGGCTTTTGTTTTTCGGCACATTTTGGTGACAAAACGACGATGAGTATGGCACCGGCAAACATTCCAAGCCATGCTAACCAGAATAGGATGAAGAGGATGGTCCTGAAAAGAAACGAAGGTGCTGATTGACTGGAAGTTCATAAACTGTTCATCTATTCATTTTATAAATTCAATTTAATGTGAGAAGTCATTAATTTCTTTTTCCTCAGAATTTTCTAGCCTTTTCCCTGGATTACACTGCTGCTGCCAAACCTAATCGAAATATTTGAAAAAAAAAAGAAAAATTGTTGTCTATATAGAAACTCAATTCCAAATAACTCTAAATAACTCTTTCAAGAAAAAAAAATTATAGATGAAAATACTCCACACGACATGTGACACGCGCTTTGCACTGGTCACAACCATAGGAGTCAGTGGAGCTTCAAATGAGCTAAAATTGGCTAATTTCATTCAAGCAGCAGGGCATGATGATCTCAACCATATGGCGAAGACCCTTTGTTCATTCACTCTCAGTTCGTTCCCAATTAACTTTCTTCATTAGCCAAAATCAGAGAAATTATCGAATGTTAGACTGAAATAGTGCTGACCACCCATAGCTACTCTAATCATGTCCAATGATAATTCAATATAATTGCTAACAAAACTCCTAGGAAAAACTGAACTATTTTATTTTAGATGTTCGCGGTAAATTACGACGTTGAGAAGTTTATTCACTAGCATGGTCCCTCCGCTTCTTAGATTTCTCGAAAATCAGGTCCCGACACGACCTCCGCCACTTTCATCCCATCGTTCCACAGTTTAGCTTGTTTCTTTAATTTCTGAACTTTGTGGCTGCCTCACCCCTAAGAAGCTGCGAACCCTTGACCCCGGTCCCGCAGAGGATTCTTCGACATACGACACCAAGTTACAGATCCTACTTCTATTCAGATTCCTAATGACCAATGCGCATCTGGCCTTTGTATCCATGGGTAGAAGCTGGCAGGTGTCCATAACAAAAATGTACAGTTGCTCCTAATTAACCTTAAACGAGTCAATCGACCCCACTAGCTGCTCCGGATCATATCTGTTTCACTGGATGACTAGGCTTTGATTGTGGATCCACTTATTTGTATGCAAATCCAGTCTATCCACTGATGATGGATTATCTTCGGTCCCTTTCCCTTCCGGTCAAGATAAACGGCGCATTCAAAATCCTTATTTTGACCATTGTTTGCAAATCCTTATCTCCTCCAGCATGGTCAGCGCTTTTCGAAGTTATCATCACCTCAGCAGTCACCTCCTTATTTTTCTTAATTACTAAGACCTAAGACTAAAAGATTGCCAAGGGACAGGAAAACAGAGAAAAATCGAAAAAAAGTGGAATAAAACGGAGTTTCGTGTTGAGCGCTGTAGTCCACTACATCCTTGTGTACAAGATTAAGAGACGTTTCTCGGGTTTTCCGGGAAAAAATCAACAGATCGTTGGGTGGCTTCCATGAAGGCGAAAAAACTCACCGAACCGGTTTCCAGAACGGATCATTTCGATACTTCTCGAGCTGGTCTTTGGTCAAGCCAACGGCTTTCGGTTCCAATTCAAAAATCACTTTTTCACCATTCTGAAATCACTTATATATCAAAATCATGATTTTTCCGTATGACCTTCCTACGAAAATGATGAATTTTTTCTAGAAGTAATCTTTTAAGTTCTATTTTCTTCAACAACCGAAAATTATTACAAAACCAAACTTCAATGAAAAAATAGTTACGTGAACTTAAAAGCAAACACAGAAAAATCACAAGATTATAAAAAAGCGTCCATAAAACTATTTCGTGCGATATCATTTGAAAATGAGAAACTCTACATCGTTTTCATACTGCTCCGTATGATTTTTTTCCACTCCTTCCTATTTGGTTTTATTTTTTCACAACCTGGGAAATTATTTCGAATGGGTAAGCTCGTCTGAATAAGTCGTCCCTATTCCTACTTGAACTTTTCCTTTATTTCAACAAAAAAAAAATCGGAAGTGTTTTCATGCTGAACTCACTTTTTCAAATGCAGCTTGACTCGACTTTCCTTCCTCGGCCATCAAGGCCTGTTTGTTGGCCATTTTGATAGATAATATAATCGAGTGAACGCAGCAACGACGTTGTTCTTCGGTTGCACAGGTGGCGACAGCAGTTTAAACCTGGAGTTGTTTACTCAAACACTAGTCGTAACCGATCTCAGCTCAATACCCTACCGGCGAGTACTACGAACGCTGGATCAAAAGTAATCCCGGGAAATAGATTATAATTGGCTTTTTTACTGCAAGCATGTACAGGAAAAAACAAAATTTAAATATATACTGAAACCCGTCAAATCAATCAAAATGCGCCGCGCATTCACTTTCCACATGAATTTTTTGAGTGAATTGCTACATAGCTCAGGCAGGAAACAACAGAAACAACAATAATGATCAATGCTGAGCGCATTTTACATTAAATCAAGGTATAGATCTATCTGTCGAAATGAAGTTGAAAATGAATTCTATATGATCAGTCGTACAGATGACACAGTTTATCGAAGGTTATTTAAATTATAACTGAAAGAAACCAACTTACTAACGCCATCATTGAATTTTATGCACAGTTATATCGTGTGTGATCCTTCCAGGTAGTATCTGTGGGTAACACTTGCCTTACCATTATAATTTTGTAAGTGTAGCTATTACATATGTATTTGCAAATATAGTTATGAATTTATTCACGGGAGTGAAGACTGAAATAAAAGGCTAGATGGACCTAATTAGAACAAGTGAGTGAGAGTACCGCTTTTACTACCCTCTAGGCCTACAAACTACCTATGTCGCCTGCGATATGGCGAATTACGTCATTTCAATGGGATTACCGAGAGTGATTGCAAGAAGTTCCCGAAAAGTCTCTAGTGGGGCACATCCAAACCCAACGGATTCCATGCTTGGCTACACTCCAATGGTAGAAACTTAGGTGCATTTATCATTCAAGGATTATATTGGTCCCAAGAGCTTTTGAAAGAGCATCACGAAAGGAACACCGGAAATGTTGGAGAATCATAGGCCTTACATGGATTAGCATGAATTTCTTGAACATTTGAAGGCTGAGACTTGATAAAAAAGTAAAAACTGCCAAAATTTCAACTAGTCGTTAACTACCGTATGAAAATAGGAAACAGTAATAAAGTATACGAAAAAACTCAAAAATATCTTTTCAAGGTGAGAGTCTTCGAGAACTTTCAAAGTCCTTATAGCATCCCCATAATCGCTGATACCCACTCAATGGGAACCCAATGGGTAGGCTCCACCCGACAGTACATCTGCAGCCCTAACAACCTATACAGAACTGCGCTGGAACTGAGCGCTAAGGCACAATTCTTTGCAGTTGCTCGATTTTCATTACTCGGAGCTCCAAAAACTGAATGATCTAATGATCTCAGGAAGGGTGGAAAAAGACTGAAAACTGAGAACTAAGGAAAAGTTTGTCTAGGTTAGAATTCTTTGAGAATGGAAGAATGCTTGAGCTGGTGCTTCGGACCCTCTGAACAATGCTTGAGGAAGTGGTGGCTATTGTTCGTTCGATGACATGGCAGCACGAGTTCAGAAACCACTGGCTTTCCCCTTCTATAACTTTGGAGATGCTCTCAGAACTGAGCCTTTCTTCCTTTTTTCAAGAGTGACTTCTAAAACAGCTACTAACCCCAATTCCCCTCCACCCTTCCCCTTTCCCCCACTTTACTAGCCTTTCACAAAACATAAAATTCATGACATATTTTACGACTTTGGAACGAAAACGACCAGTGAGCTCTTCGCCCACTAACTTAGTCATCTAGACACCAGCCATTTTTTGGTATTGTAACCGGATTACTTGTAATATAGGAATAGTGGAGTTAAGTAGGCGTAGTAAGGTGCTAATGAGGACAACCAAGGTTGCGCCCGACTCCGCCCGTGTTCGCGGAATGTCAGCGGGTGGGCTGTTTGCAAAAGTGGGAGGGAGTAGAATGAGCCGATCGATGTGGTCCCGCCTCACGGGAAGAGATAGGAGCGATAAGAAAGAGAGAATCTAAGAGTATAGAAAAGCGAGGTGTCACTGCGTTAACGTGATAAGAGATGGGCTTACGTTCAACGGATGCTGATGCGAAGTAGCCTCAAAGTGGTTAGCGCTATCGATAAAGTAATTTTCATCGAGCTCTTCGATATCCGATTCCGGTGGCTTGGAAGGTTCCTTATATGAAGCTGCACCCTATTTAGCACTATTTATTGTTATCAGACCATTATCAATAATTACAACTATCCTGAAAGTTGGAAGTTCATCGTTGTCATGCGCTATTTTTCATTTTTGCATTTCCTCTTCTGAACCACTATAGAATATTGGTTACTTCGACAGCTCAGATCCTGAAGGTTCCCGATTTACTCCCAGAGAATCGGTGCCGCCTTTTAAAACTAAACATCACAGTCTTTTAACAAGTTGTATTTACCAAATCGTAGATAAACTTGATAATTAAATCCCATTGAGCAACATTGTTATCGCCTTATCCAGAAACTTAATTATATAATTGAATCTGAGTGGAAAAGATTTAAATGAGAAATTAAATGAGGAAATGGAAACCTATGACGGATCGAAGCCTCTTAGCATGAACATAGGCTCGGAATTTCAGGGTTAAAAAAAGTGAAAAGTCTAATTTCCTCGGAATGTTGGCGACGAAATTTCCTCTGGAGTGACAGAATCTTGACAGAAGACAAGTACGAATATGGAACGAAAAGAACTTCGAGCAATCCAAGTTGCAATTTTGGTGCAAAGTCGGCATGATGAATAGCCTTCTTTTCTATCTTGCACAGGCCCTTGGGAAAAGGTTCCCTAGGACAATATCAAAGTTCAATTTTCGGGGATATTTTATGGCCCTGATACTCACTAGACTAAACAAAGCACTTAAGCAGTTTAGGAACGACCAGATTCTGAACACCTGTGCCACATTGAAGAAAAAAGGACCCCCTTTCACGAAGCTGTTCGATAGATGGCACTTCGTCAAGAAAAAACCGTTTGATTGTATACTTTGCGAGCATTCGCGGTGCTTATCTTCAACAAAAAACCTCAAAAGAATTCCAACAGTAAGAAAAAGGGCAACAGAAAGACTTACTGTCTCTTCATGATAACCCCTTTTGTTCTTCAAGGACTTTCGAACTCACCTTTTAAGAAAAAAACAACAAAAAACCATCTGTCCCTTCATGATAAGCATTATTGTTCTACCAGAACTTTCGAATTATCTTTGAGTTCCACGTCATGCTTTGAAAGGATTCTAGCGTGAATCTCGCTGGGAAAATCAAGGGCTTCTAGGAGGTATGGGTAGAATATTACCAGTTATGTTTCTCGGACCAGTTATAGACTCTTTGTCGATTACACGCACATTTAGTAGAGATCCTAGTTCACAGTGAAAGAAGCAAACTCAGTCCAGACCTTTATGTTTACTTATTTGTTCGATTATTTATTTGCTTGATGAGAACACATGTTTAAAAGACATGCCTTTGGTTAGCAGCGAGAAAAATTCTTGATAGAAAACCCATTTTAAACGTGGCCAGGCAGCAAAGGGAAACAAAAAAGGAGCTTTAAAAAAAAGAAAAAAGAGCAGAAGGCAAACTAGAAAAGTTAGTCTAGATTTGAACTCATATCAACACCAGGCATAAACGTAGCAGTTTTTAACGCAAGTTCCGAATGATGGTGAATCAACAACTTCTTTTTAAAAAGATCCTATTTCAAAACTGAAAAAGGCCGAAAAGTTTAACATAAGCACCATGAAACCCGATAGTTCGGATTCGGAATGAAAGTCTACCTTCGATAAAGAAAAAGCTTAGTTTAGCGAAAAGTCCAAGCAGATACACCGTGTTGGTCTGGTGAGAGTTCGAACGAGGAGGAAAAGCTCTCACCATAATCCTCTTACACGGTGAGCAAATGTGGTTCAGGCAATCGATATTGAAGACTCTTCGAAAAGGAAACAGTTGGTAAGGAACAGTTGTTAGGTAAAGTATGAGTTGAGTAAAAAATCTTCGTTATGGGGCAAGATTAATGCTTTAAGAGCAGTGCGAGATCTGAAGAAGTCGAAAGAAAGTCGACAACATATGTTGGGGCGATTGCATCAGACTGACGGGGCCTCTCTGCCTCTCAGAATGACCGAAATGTCACGGACATTTCATGAAAATTTCATGTTGCCTTGGAACCGAAAGGGGCACCGGTAATTATATGAGCATACATGGGTTCATTAGGCTAGGAACAACAGCGATCCCAGAATCGCTAATCTAAGAAGCTCTATTTCTGATTCCTAGATTAGCTATTTGCATTTCCTATGATTCTGTAATTGTAACAATATTAATAATACTTATCAGGCTAATTTAAAAACTAGAGGCTGCCTAACTTCTTTTTATACCGGTACTTTCTATAGATGCTTCCTATAGTGCGGTAGCGTAGAATTCTAGTGGGAACAGACCGCTCTTCTCACACAACAGCCGATCCTTCGCCGAAATTTCGTAGATTTCGCCAGATTTCAGCAGTTTTACGGTGTCTTTTTCTACCAGCCCATCACCATTTTCTTCAGAAAGTCCCATCGCCTTCTTCGTTGAACGTACTAGATCTCATTCACCACCTCGTCGTCCTAGCCGAATCGCTGTCAGACAAATGTCCTTACAGCCTGAGCAACATATGGTGCGGTGAAGAACACAAAAAACACGTTGGAAAACAGGTGGAGCAGTCGGTAAAGTCATGAGGAATGGGTTATGGGATTCAGTTATGGGATAGGAAAGTGGTATAGCGTTGGCGGATTTTTGGCTTGCCGGGGCCACAACTTTGCGAATATTCCTGGAACTGAAGAAACTCCGGGAGCCCAATCAAAACCGAAAAAGGACAAGATGTCAACATTTTCTACGGCAACTGCAGCTAAAGGACCTGGCCGCGAACTTTAAAGTCGTTGGCATTGAAGAGCTAGGATAGCTTCTCTGAAATACGCTGGCTGGAATGTCGATGGATTAAGAAAGCCAGCTATTTCCCAACTTGTGATTGATGCATGGTATTGCAAGAAATAAGAGTTTGTCTGCTTGTTCGGAAATTG